ATGGCACCTGCGTGGCGTCACAGATGGTGTTGAAGCTCATGAAGTGCGAGTTCACGTTGGTGGCGCCGTACTTGCTCATCATCGTGCGCTCCAGCAGCTTGCCTGCTCGCACATGCCACAAGCCCAGCAGCAGGAGGGACAGGCATGCGGGTGAGGGAGCATGGGTGGGGAAGGGCGGCAAAGCAGCATGGAGAGGAAGGATAGTGTGGGTGTGCCTGGGGTTGGGTTGCAACAAACGCGCTGGGGTTGGGGAGAGTGGTTGGGAGCACGTGGGGGGCACGTGGGGGGCACGTGGGGGGCACGTGGGGGGCATGTGGGGGGCACGTGGGGAGCATGTGAGCAGCACAAGGATGGTGCATGACTTAGGAAGCACAGTGATGACATGGCAACTGCAATGGGGGGGGAGTGTGGCCCACCCCCCCACTTCCTCTCAAGGCCCCCACGCCCCATGCGCCCTGCCAACCCACGCCCCCTGCACTGTGGCATGGTGGCTCACCGATCATCTCGGTCTCGCCCTTGAGCATGGTGGTCTGGTTGGCGATGCCCACGCGCTCCAGGTCCCTGTCCGGGTCGAACCCCTTGGACACCGCCTTGGCAAACTTCTGCTCGCGTGCCCTCGTGCACACACGCACATGTGGGGGTCGAGGTGGCGGCAATGGGGAGGGAGGGGGTGTTGAGCATGGCGTGAGAGGGGAGAGTCAAGGTGACGGCATGGTATGGCATGGCCTGGTGAAGGGGGGAGGCAGAGGCGAGAGCAGGAAGATGGAGAATGGGGACATGAAGCAGGAAGTGGAGAATGGGGACATGAAGCAGGAAGTGGAGAATGGGGACATGAAGCAGGAAGATGGAGAATGGGGACATGAAGCAGGAAGTGGAGAATGGGGACATGAAGCAGGAAGATGGAGAATGGGGACATGAAGCAGGGTTGGCAGGAGTCATCCCAAGCAACTCGCCTGGAGGAACTCTTCCCGCGTGCCGCTGGAGCCGTCAGCTTGCCGCCCAGAATGTAGTCGCACACGTAGTTCGCCTGCACGGGCACACGCAGGCACAGCGCCGGGGGGAGTGGGGGGGGGGGGGGAAGAAGAGGGGGATGTGGAGGGTGGTGGTTTGGGAGTGGGGGGTTGAGCGGGCAGGCAGAACAGAGGCAGCAGGATGGTGGGCCCGAGTGTGAGGGTGTGCAGAAGGCGCGAAACAGACGACAAGCAGAGCATCTGCGAGTGGGGGAGAAGAGTCGGAGAGGTGGCACAAACACATGTGGAGTGCGGCACGTGTTGCCCTACGCCCAGCATATCCGTGCCATACAGAGC